TAGGGTGTGTTTGTTTAGGGATGAAATGGGTCGGGTCGGGTGTGGGTTTTGCCAAACCCGAACCCGACCTGCATATTCTTTACCCTACCGTACCCGGCCCGTTACCCAGTTAGTGAACTTCGGGTTCGGGTTGGGCTTAAGCCAACAGGTTATTGGGTCTTGTCGGGTAAACGGGTAACCCGAATACCTAAATTTGGGTTTTACACGATCCCAACCGACCCGACCGTTTTATGTGTAAAAATATTTATAAAATAAATCCACAATTAAATATAATATAACTAACAATTTACTACTAAGTTGGACAATAAAATAACTATAAAAAAGAATATATTATTTTTAGAATAAATATTGAGATAAAATTATTTATTTTTTATAGTCTAGTTAATCATATAACATTTAAAAATTAAATATTTAAATTTTATATTGTACAACTTAAAAATTTGATAAAAAAAATAAGAAACATAAAATAAATTTAAACCATTAATCGAAATTATAATAAATAATCTAATTTTATATTTATAATATGATATCAATACTTGCGGGTAAACAGGTAGGGTAATCAGGTCGGGTAACGAATTTTTCTATCATACCCGAACCTGGTCAGACCCGGGGTCCAGGTAGCATAATTCTACCCGAACCCGACCTGAAACCTGATCATTCTGAGTTTACTCGACCCGAAAATGTGGGTAACCAGACCCTGCGGGTTTTATTGACGTGCCTATGTTTGTTTATAAATTGTCTCATTTCATACTCAATTTATAATCAAAATATAACTCAACTTTGACTTAACTCCACTATTTTTAATATTATCAGTATAATTAAATAATATTAACCAATCATTGTTACACATCACATCAACTTTAATTTACTATTCATCTACTCATAATTTTAACTAACCATCTTTTCACATCATATCTCTTCTCTCATACTCTTACATAAAATCAATTTTAATTATTTTATTTTAAATATTATTTTTACCATAAACTCAAAATCCCACTAACAACTAACCATACAATCGTTTTGAAAATTAACTATTAGTAACTAAAAAAAAGTTGTTTTAGGTTTGGGTGGGTTGGGATGAGGTAGCCGCACTGCTGTGTGCTTCAGATTTTGGACGGCTCCTTTCCTTCACTTCGCTTCGTTCGTTGGGTGAAAGCGTCGAAGGCAAAGGAATCCGATGACGAATGAATGCCGAACTGGATTAGTAAGCGGTGAAATACCAAAGAAAAAAGAAAGAATGTCGTTGAAAGGGGAAGAGCCCAGATGGATACCGAGTTTGGAAATGAATAGAGAAAGAAAGAAATTCCACGATCGAACTACCAAAATAGAATAGGCCAAAAATCCCAGTTTTAACTGATTTCTGTTTTATTCAAAAGCCAGAATTGAAAAAATCAAAGAAAAAGTCCTTTCGTTAGAAGTTAGAAAAAAGCGGTACTCGGACAAAGCCTAATACGATTATGAGAGGGGCCGCCTCACCACTACTTTTGATTGGATATATTTGTATACAAACACGCCCTAAGAGTCCATAATGTTTTGGATGTTAGATGATCCTTTCCTAATTTTTGGGTTGGATAAAGGTGTGTTTGTATATCAAAAAACTCAATTCATATTCAAAATCTAATTCGACCTTAACTCAACTCAACTATCTTCAATATTCTCAATATAACTAAATAATATCAATCAATCATTCTTACACATCACATCAACATTATTTTATTATTCATCTACTCACATAATTTTAATTAATTATCACTTCACATCATCTCTCTCCTATTTTCACATCAAATCAACTTTAATTGTATTATTTTAATTATTATTTTAATATCAAATCAGAATCACACTAACAACTAACCATACAATTTTTTTTTAAATTACTCTGATTAACAAAAGAAAAAACTAATTTTGAGCGGATATATTTGTATACAATCACGCCCTATATAAGTCCTCTTAATGCACAACTCTAGGTTTATTGTTAGGGTTTGGTATAAATACTGATATTTGTATTTTGAGTTTTCATCAAGGAATATAAGAATTAAAAACGAGCTTTTGCTCTAGAAGTTCACGTTTGCTCGAAGTAGCGCAAATCTTGATACATTTTGTATCAAATACACACGTATATAATCAAGATGGGCGAGAAATTGCAATTTATATATGAATATTTTTAAATATCAAGTTGTGTTTTAAAACACAAAATCCAAATTCAGAAACTGTTCTACCCTATCTTAGATCATTCTAATTTTTTTCTTTTTTAGAAAAGAAGAACTGATATGATTATTTAACGTGTTAGATTTGGATCATATTTTTGTATGATTAATTTATTTGGTGTTTTTTGTTTGTTATACTGTTGTGTTTCTGCTGGCATATGTGAGCTAAGAGCCGAAGTCAACTTCTCAGACGGCGTAAAACTGGAGATATAATAAGATACTACTATTAGGTAAAATCGTGATAACCACACATTAATCCAAATAATTATGGTTTGGAAATTGATTTTCATGGGATTTCATGCTGTACAAATTATTATCTTCCATGTGCAATTAATTAATTGTTTATTTGATCGCGTCTTGTGACTTATAATTACGCACAACGATTAGTAATATTTTACTTTATTTCATAGGTTGAATTGTAAATAGAAACCTTGCAATTTTTCGTTGGTGAAGGAGCTTTGCAACTTATAAGTCAATGACACGAAGGAGGTTCTCAGTTTATAAATAATAGTAACTAGTACGACACCCGTGTACTACACGGGTTGTTTGAAAAGAAATATAAAACAATAAATAATAGAAAAAATACCTATTGTCGTATAAATGTGCAAAAATAGAAAACAAAAATATTCAGACTCTATATAATTTGACAAATTAATGAAAACCCAAAGTAATATTTTATATTAAATTAAATTATTTTAGTTTAAAAAAATTATTATTTTTTACATATGCTTCCTAATTCAACACCCGTGTATTTACATGTGTATTTGGTTTAAATATTTTTTTTCAGGCTTGTTGGATTAATGAAAAGGAAATTGACTGTTGAGATAAATGCAAAACAAAAGATTATATTTGATCATCTTGTATATCTACAGGGGAAAACAAATCTAACTCTATAAGCATAACCAGTCATACCAAATTAAGGATTTTCTAGAAATTTCTTAAACATAACGCAGAGGATAAAATGCATTGTTGACATGGCCAGAACCAACACAAACACATTACAATTCAAGGAGAGGCAATAATAATAATTTATTTATATATATATATATATATGACAATAATTGATGTAATAAAATAACTCGAATTATAATACCTATAGCTCATATGATAATAATCAGAAGGGGCATACGAAGGATAAGGTGCTGAATTGAAACCACCGTGTAACTTTTTTGTCTAAGACACAAATCTCCATTACAACACGATTTTCAGGTGGTTCTTGTCATGTTTGAACCATAACGCTCAATTGTGTTGAAAACAGTTGTCATGGTAAATTCAATTTCTGTAAGATGAATAATTGAGATGAAGGGGCTATGAGAATGAAGGGGGATGGTGATTTAAATAATGTAGAGAACTTTGTCAAACCGATTTCGAATTAAGCAAAATACACGGCATAATAGGATTCTTAACATTTGAAACACTTTATCCTACACGGCTCATATAATAGTAGGATTAAGCAAAATACACGGCATTTCAAATTTATTATACACGACATTATAAGAATAAGAAATATGCAACAACCTTTAAAGTTCGATTTTTTTATTTTTTTTTTATATATTTAAACAGGCGGTGATAGTTTAGATCCGTGTATTACATATGTGAATTTTGGATAAGAATAAGTGATTAAAAAAAACTTTTGAAGGAATTAAAATAAACTATGATAAGAATGAGAATCCTATTTGGACGAGATAAGAATAAGAATCCTATTTGGAGTTAGGGTCCTATTTATTTTGGAATATAATTGTATTATTTTTATCCGAATCAAAAGTCGAAACATGTAATGTTACCAAGTAAGCTTCCGAAGCGTGCGAACCAGCCATTTAGGCTCAGCACGTTTTGAAATTATATTAAGGAGGGATATGCGTTATATTAATTAAATTTTCTACCTTATAATATATAACTACATTAAACATAAATATATTAATTGATAAATAATTTTAATTTCTAATTAATTTTAATAAATAATTCTATTATTATTATAAAGATAAATATAATTTATTTATTTTATATATACAATATGGATGTCAAATCGAAGCTCATCAAAAGATGATTAATTTGATATATTATATATGTAAAACCAATAAGAAATACAAAAGTTATCAACTTTTAAAATATATATGCAATTCAATGGTAATAATAGTAAATGATATTGAAATACAATTAATACAAATATTAATTTATATCCAAGCCCAACTCCAAAGCATAATTTTTTGTCAAATAGGATTCTGAAGCATGAGAGTTTGCCACGTAGGCTCAGCGCATTCTGAAATTATATATAGAGGGGATTGGATTTTTTTTATTGTCTTTATTTGTTCATTTTCGACTTTTCGTACACTCAAAAAAGTACAGTTCATGTTTTAATTAAATTACTATAAATGTCATGATTTTTTTTAATAAAATATTTCAATATAATAACATACATTTATGTCAAATTTATTATAATTAATTATTTATCGGTGAGGTTTGGCACGTTTGTCTAATAAGTAATAACCTTATGGTTGTGCAATGTTTGTACTGTTCTGGCAAATAATGATTTTCATGAGGCGTTCCCTTCGAGTCAAAAAAGACATTTTTCTTTAAGTGATAAAAAGAAGTATGAACAAATAAATTTCAGAAAGAAGGTACACATATTAGAAAGGGGTAAACAAAATCGAGTTAGAAATGTAATAATCAAGTCAAATCATTCAATTCATACTATGTTATAGTTCGATTATTTGTTGGCGCACAAAATTGTGATTTTGTATCGAACAAATCTGAGTTATATAATTCATACCTTGTGTAGATCATACTAGGTTGACTTTAGTACCTCGAATTTGCTTGAATCTCCATTGATGACTTGCTCATGTATCCAACTGATGCTTCGCTATAGAAGATTACTTGTTATCCTAATCAAAATATATTAATCCATTGATACGTATTTTCATCTAGTTGTCTTGCATAAGAAAGGCCGTTAGGGCATCCACAACCCTTTAACACAAATATCATTCATTCAATAAAAAAGTAACACTCTCTCTCATCCACATCATATTTCTACTAAATCTCTCTCCATTCACTACAAGAAATTTGAGTTTTACCAACGGAATGCCAACGGCTTACCAACAGATTTTCTTGTTGCTATATGGCTTGTTACTAAATTTTGTCAACAGAAAATACAATCCGTTGGGAAAATTCCCAAAGGATTACCAACAAATTTGAAACGGAAATGGTTCATGAGATTGTCAATGGATTCCCAATGAAAAATGTAGTTGCTAAATCATTCCGTTGGCAAATTACTAACAGAAAGCCAACATATTAGTTACGAATATACTAAACGGATTACCAACATATTTTTCTCAACGGATTTCCAACGTAATTTTCTCAATGGATTACCAACAGATATTTTTTCAACGGATTATCATCGGAATTTTCCCAACGGATTACTAACGAAATCTTCCGCCAACTGATATTTTTTCCCAACGGATTACCAACGCACATTTTTTCCCAACGGATTTTTCCCAACAGATTACCAACGAATTTTTCAGGAAAAAAAAAATAATATTGTTGATCCAACTTGGCTCACCTTGAGCCCATGGCCACCTTGACCCATGGCCATCCACCAATATAATCCTTAGTAATTCTCATAATTCTCCTAACAATAGGGCTTGAACTCAAGACCTCTTGCATGTTAAAGAGGTAACACCACCAATAGGCTATATGAATGTATGAGAATTATACAATATATATATATATATATATACGAGAAAATAATTAGTAAATTTATGTAAATTATATTCTATATTTAAATTCATAAATATTTCTATATTATTTATGATTTAACCGTTCAATTATATTAGGTGTTTTTTTTAATGTCTAATTATAAAATTAGTGACTTTATATATTAGTATCTATAAATTTATGACATTATTAAATGAACTAGTACGAATCCCGTGCAACGTATGGGTAAGAAATATGTATTAGAATTAAAAAAATTAAAAATACACATTAAATATTTATAAATTAAAATAGAATCAATTTGTAATACAATTTACCTATATTAATTTATTAAAATGTTATATGAAATTTAAATTGTGAAAAATTACATAAAACATGTCTATTTCAATTAGTACACAACCCGTACGGTGGAGTAACTGATAATAAATTATATAATATTTATTTCAAAATAAGTGCCATTTTAAAAAAATTTATTTATGAATATAATTACAATGTGATTCCATTAAAGAAATATTTTGGTAAAATTTTATCAAATATTTAAATATCTATTAAAATAATAAGTATAATTATAAAACTTATCCTGTTTAGTTAATTAAAATGAATTTATTTTTGTATAAACTATCCAAATAAATTTTTTTTAAGTAGTTGAATAATTTATTAAATTAAATAATTAACTATTTCATTTACGTCAAAGTTAGTATTGACTCATAAGTTATGAATAATTACTTATTTAACTTTTAAATTTGAAACTCAAATTTGGACTACATAATAATTTTTCATTTATATATGTATGTATACACACACACACACACACAGATATATATATATATATATATATATATATATATATATATATATATTCTCGAAATTTTCTGGATTTGTTGTTGGCCACCTTATCATTCAAATTTATTACCTCATTAAATAATGTTTACAAATTAAAAATATGGAATAAAATGTAATATAATTTACCTATATTAATTTATTGAAAATATTATATGTAATTTAAACTGTGCAAAATTACATAAATGTGTCTATTTAAATTAGTACACAACTCGTACAATGCACTAACTGATAACAAATTATATTATATTCCTTTCCAAATAAGTGTCATTATAAAATTTTTTATTCACAAATTAAAATAAATATTTTGATAAAAATTTATCATATATTTAAATATCTTTATAAATAAAAAGTACAATTATAAAATCATATATATATGATTTTTTAATATCATCTATCATCTATCATAATATTCAATACTCTAACTAAAAAACAATATCACAAAATTCAACGATAATACGGCCTAATTACTATTTTTCACTTTTAGGTTTAACATATTTAACAATGTCATAAAATCATATATATATATATGATTTTTTTTAATTATTATGATATATAACAAATTCTGAAAATTAATGGAATGCATATGTGGCACATATTTATTTTGAATTGATTTAAATATTATTAAATTAATTACCTAATTAAATAATATTAATGTAAATTAAATATTTATCATTATATATATAAAGAATTTTACTTTTGTAAGTGTTATAAATAATAATAATAATGACATTATACGATTTTGAAAGAGTTTGTTGCTATTCCGTTGCTATTTACCAACGGAATAATCCGTTGCTATTTGCCAACGGAAAAAATTCGTTGCTATTTGCCAACGGAATAATCCGTTGCTAATACAATGTTGAAGGTGTCCGTTGCTATTTGCCAACGGAAAAAATCCGTCACTATTACCAACCAAATAGTCCGTTGCTATTATAATTTTGAAAGAGTTTGTTGCTATTTCGTTGCTATTTGCCAACGAAAAATTCCGTTGCTATCTACCAACAGAATAATCCGTTGCTAATACAATATTGAAGGTGTCTGTTGCTATTCCGTTGCTATTTGCCAACGGAAAAAATCCGTTGCTATTTACCAACGAAATAATCCGTTGCTAATACAATTTTGAAAGAGTTTGTTGCTATTCTATTGGTATTTTGTTTGTATTTACTAACGGACTATTTCCGTCACTATTTGCCAAGGGAATACAAAGATATAATTTTCGTTGCTATATTTTATTTGTATTCTATTGGTAATCCGTTTATAAAAATTGTATATATAATGCATTACTAATCTGTTGGTGATCCGTTGGTAATCCCCAACGGAAAAATTTTTGTTGGTAATTTTTGTTGGCATTTTGACAATTTCTTCTAGTGATTTAAACACACATCCACATTACACATTCATTTAAACACATATATGAGACCCATTATCCACTCGCTCAATATAAATTTTAATATTCTATTCTCAATAAAAATAAAAATCTAATATTTTTAAAATATAATAATAAATTTTAAATGCATGAAAATGAAAGAACACTACAAGACCAAAATAACATGAGAAATTTTGAAAATTTAGCCTATTATTCGGATCCATTTTTTTAACACACGTGAGCAGTTGCTAAATATTTTGGTGCAGAAAAAGTGTAAAAACGAAGTGTATTTATAAGCAAATAATGAAGGATAGAACATATAAATTATTGATACATATTGAGAAGTGTGATATAGATAAAATATGAATTCATCAACTATAAATTAAATGTCAAATTGAATTAAAAATGAAAAGTGTATTATAAATAAAAATTGAATTAAATACGAAAAGAGAAAAAAAATTGATTACATAATTAATTGAAAACAAAAAAAAAAAGAAAAAAAAAGAAAAAGCTATTGAACTGCCGTTCAATATATTGAATGGACAAATGGGGCCCCCCAATTAAATGGATGCTTGCATCCCTATTAAACGCGAGGGTTCCGTTTAAACGCCTAAAAATGAGCTGCAATGCGGGTGCTCTTAGAACCTTTTAAATATGAATAACATTGATCATAATGAGGTAAACTTTAATTGCAATTTACTATATACAGGTATTTAATCTTTCTAACTCGAATGTTCAAGTATCTATATTGGGAATACTTCCCAACGCTTTGTAGATGACAAGAGACCGAGTTTGAGAAGTAATGGATATGAATCCGATCTATTCTATGTGGAGCATATCTAAAATGACTTGTAAAATTAGTGTGAGTGCTAATTCAATTTTATGTTATAATAATTTCATGCTTTGATGGGTGGAAGCAAAAACTTTTATCTTTTCTTTTACACATTGCTTCTTAGTCAAAAGGCCACAAGAGGATGACATTAATATTAACATCACTGAAGCCACATTAATACAGACGTGTTTCCTTCTTCAGGTAATCAGCTCAGGTTATTCACTAAATGAGGAGATAAACGACAATTAATAGACGAAGCTTGTTTAAGTGTCATGAAGAGTGAGATTAAAGGAAAAAAAAATCAGTTTGCAACCAAAGTCTTCTCACTGTTCATATCCGAGGTTCAATTTAATCAATTTGGACAAAATATTTCAACATTTAATCAGTACTGATTCAAAACATTAAAAACACTGCCACCGACAATCACTTCTAGTAGTATATGTCAATAAATCATAAACCATTTGAAACTATGGAATTAATCCATCCAACGATACCTTTAATTTCATCTTATGATACCACAAATTTCATTGAATATGTGGAATCCAAAGTTTCAATATGATATATGATTAATTGAAATCCACCACTGACTGCATCAAATAATGAAAGATGATGACTGATAGTTGTTATCTATTTTGTACGAAAGAAATTAATTTTTGATACATCGAAACGAAGTTTGATTAATTTTGAGACTTCATATACCAAAATCGAAAATCATGTACAAATTCAGTTTTAAAAATGATTTTTCCAGAGTAGACCAAATAATGTTTAGCGTAAAGCGATGAATAATGCTCATTTATTATAATTGTTTTTTACATAATAGGTAACAAATAAGTGTAGAAATTATAGATTTTAANAAGATGTTACCATGTGTGTATTATACAAATTTTATGTATTACTCTAGCATGATCCTAAAGAAATATAATAACTTGCCCTTTACTTATAAGAAACACAGGATAGAAAAGAAAGAGAAAATAGAGAAAAAAATACCCGTTGTGTTTTGTCTTTATTCATTTCTCCAATTTCAAACACCTGCAATTGCATGCAAAACTGTGTCTGGTTTCCACGTGCTGCCTCTTCTCCCTACCCCTCTACCTCTACGCTTATCCCCATTTCCCCTCTTTCATTCATCAATTTAGATGCACAAATTACAGAAAAAACAATTGGAAAAGAAATTCAAAATCAAAAGATTCCCCAACAAAACCTGCAAAATCTCTAGTTTGAAATCCAGCTGAGGAAGAAAAAAAAGAAGAAGAAATACAGAACTCAACCAAAAATGGCAATGGAGGTTGTGTACGAAGACGTCGGCGAAGAGAACACTCAGTGCCCTAATCATCCCTACAAAAATAGCAGCCCAGGTGGGATCTGCGCCTTTTGCCTCCAAGAAAAGCTCGGCAAGCTCGTTTCCTCTTCACCCCCTTTTCCCCCGTCCCCCAATCCTCCCAGATCCGCCGCCGAGAACGGCGGCGCCTCCGCCCCCCGCCTCCCTTCCTCTGCCTCCGCCGCCCAAAACAGGGCCGCCGAATTCGAAAACAGCGGGCCCTGCTCGAGGAAACCGCGGTTGCCCTTTGTGCTGACGGCCCACAAGAAAAATAGCATCAAAGATTCAGATTCAGCGCCAATCGTCTTCAATAGAAGCAAATCCACGGCGACCCCAAGAAGAAAAGTGGACGGAAAATTGCTCCGGCGAGGGTTACAGCCCAAGCGGCAGAAGGGGTTTTTGGTCATTTCTCCAATTGTCCAAGAATTCTGCTGTAAAGAAAGGTAATGGGCAGTTCAAAGATTCCAACTTTATCGACATAGACGAACGGAAAGAGGATGAATTCGTGGCCGTCGATCAAATTCATCAAGAGAGTCCTAGTAATTTCTCGAGGTCGAGATCGGTCGGGTGTGAGAGTAGGAGTTTCTCGGGCTTTGGTGATTGTACTCTCAGAAGGGTTGAGTCCCAAAGGGAAGGAGGCTGTGAAAACAAGCTTAAGGTACAACCATCTCGAAATGTAGGAAATAATGGTGATGATTGTGGTGGACGAGATTGTATTAAGGAGAGAGTTAAATGTGGTGGTATATTTGGTGGTTTCATGTTAGCTAGTTCAGTTGAGGAGAGTAATGTGAATCATGGTATTATGAGGAGTAAAAGTTGGGTGTGGGCATTTGCGAGTCCAATTCGAACTTTTGGGAAGCATACTAATGGTAAAAAGGATGCTAATAAGAATAGTTATGTTAATGGCAGTAATTCATTGAATAAGAATCGCGGGACGACCCCTAATTTAGCTCCTATACCTTCTCTGCTGGCTGTGGGGGTCTGAAGAAAAACGAGAGACCATGAGATGTTAATTTGGGTTTAGTGAGTGTGATTTAGGAGATGTTGCTCGATTTTACCGTCTCTTGGTGAGGTTTTCTGCTGTCGGATATTTTGGTTACTGCCTTCTGTTGTTGTAACTTGTGGTGATTGATGCTGTTTAATTTTAGTTCTTGTAACTTCCTTTTTGTTGGTGTAATCAAGCTCTGAGTTTCATTACTGCATTATTTTTGTGGTTCACAGTTACAATGTGGTGGTTGAGGCTTGGCTGATGCCTTTCATTCACGTAGTTCATCGCGGGAGAGAAATAAATTAAAGAGATTGTTTTGAAGAAATGATGGATGAAAGTATTTAGAGTTTGAATTGGATATTGGACGAACTAGTGATGATTATGGTAAATTGTTGACTATATAGATAGATAAACATATGAAGCCTTCTATTCAGTGATCAAATATCCTGTTGCATTTTTCATATTCTATCTTGTTTCGTTGGATATATGTGTCATGTATCTAATGGAATGAAACATAAAATGAGAAAATCTCATTCCTTCTATTAGCTATTATTAATGACATGTTATATATATTTATAGGGTTAGGATCATATGAGAATGATAGATAGTGAAAGAAATAAGAATAGATCGGTACCATCGGATACCACATATCAATGGTAATGATCAAGTCAAAGCTAGTCAAATCTGTAATGGCAATTTCGTAAATCAGTGTTTATTTCGTGGTCAAATATATGCATTTGACCACTTAATGGGGTAGAGAAGACAATACATATTTATCCGTGGGCCCCACCAACAACCCCACTAACCCCTCTCTCTCACGTTACACCCAAAACACATACATACACACAGTTCTTCTTCACACACGCAGACTACACCAAGCACCACCGTCCAGCGCCACCAAGCACCGCCGTCCACCGCCACCAACCGTCGCCGCGTCATCTCTGACCTCGTGCTGATATGAACACCGTCACCAGTACCTCCCCTCCATTGCAGCACCGCCGTCCGCCACTGAGATGCCGGAAAGATGCCTCGTCAACAACCATCCGCCAAGACCCTCAACTTCTCCTCGCTGGCTGATCCGACGGCGGATGCAGCTCGAAGGGACTCCTCCGTGACATAATCCAGTGGCAGCGAGCGGTCCTGGAGACCGGCGTCCCTGAGCTGCGGCAATTCTATTGTTGCCGATTGTGTTTTCCGATTATCCCAATCGTCCTTGACACTGCCGACGAGTACATCCTGAAGGACCTGAACGGCGCTTGTGGATCGTTGAAGCCGTCGCAGAAACCGCCGGGCTGTATGCAATTTGGAAGTTGCAGAGTGTGAATTTGTGCCTGATCGGTTTAATGGGAATAGCAGATCTAATTGGGAACTAGTGCAGAGCCCGTGCGATGCACGTGGCGCACAATTTTAAAGCTATTTATCCTAGCTTATAATTATATACATGAATAAAGAAAAATGTACGAGATATATATAATAATATACGGGATATATATAGTACGTGACCCGTGCGAGGCACGGGATATATTTATTTGGGAATATTATATTATAAGATGCAATATTAAATAAAAATTTTATAATACGGAGAAAAATTGTATAATAAGATAGTACTAGTACGTACCCCGTGCGATGCACGGGACAAAGATATTAAATGAGTTATTTTCACACCCTTGTCCGTTTAAGTTTAAAAAATAATAGAGTTATTATCTATTTTCTACATATTTTAATCAACGTTAACTCTAAAAAACAATAGGATAATTATAAGTTTTTTCCACACCTTTTAACCAGCGTTGTTTTTTTTTTTAGCCTACACATTAAATATGAGCATGTTAAGGCTAACTTGTAATTAATATATTATCTCACTAAAATATCTATACTAATAAAAATTTAATTTTAGCATATAAATTTATCTTTTGATATAAGGCAAAGTAACATTTTTACTTATTGTTGTTCAGTATATAATATAAGAAAAATGAATATTGTTAAATAGTGTAATAGAATTGTTATAAAATTATATGAATTTTTTTTTTTTTACAATATGGATTTAATATCTTTAAAAGATTCGATAATATAACTATAATATATTCTTATTGATATAATAATATGAGATACGGATTTACATAATACTATGGATTTATTCCTTAATGTTAAGATATTGAATTAGGTAATGTATGATTCACTAATTTGTAATCTGTCTCTTTTTATATTGAAAATAATCATGTGATTGAGTAGAGATAACAGTTATCTATGAATTCCTTCATTTAAGGAATAATTTTTAAATTGGTCCAAGTGTTGAATGCAGTCCGATTTTCTTGTAACTAAAAATGAGAAGAGATTTTGAATTTCAATTTTTCACTTCAAAACCACACGTATATTTGAATGCAGATTTTATTAAAAATAAAATGAGAAGAGATTTTGAATTTCATATTCACTTTAATATCTGTCGAAATTTTCAAAAATGAATTCAACAAAACCAATAATTTTAGGGGCATTCAATGCTACCCTATTTTATGATTTAAAATATCTAAAACTTTCTAAATATGGTGTGCAATTAATTATTTTAGAAGATGAACTGCTTTTGTTACCAAAAAATATGGGCACAATTTTTAATGCACATCCCGTCCAAATATCAGTTTTATTTTAAAATAAAAATTGCACGTGGTTTTAACTAATTTACACACTTTTTTTGAAAGAAAAATTATTCATTAAGATTGGAAGAATTGGTTAGAAATTATACAACTATTTGTTTCGTAAATTTGTATCCAATTTGCACGGTTTTTAAATTGATTTGTATTTAGAATTGTTTTCATAAATAATTGACACATTTTTTGCATAAGAATCTCTAAATTTGTTACCAAAAAATATATGATTTAAATTTTGATAAAAAAATAAAATATGATACGAAAAGAATGAGATTCAAATTTTGTCATAAGAATCTCCAAATTTGTTACCGAAAAAATAGGATTCAGATTTTGTTTCTAAAAATTTACATGTGTTTTTTCGAACTTTTCATTAATAGTAAGTCAAACATTATTTTCATTTGGTCAAACTTTCTATTAATGTATTTTTCCAACAACCTCTTTATATATATATAGATTGGATGAAAGACATATTAACTTGTTTGATTAAGCTAAATCCTTGATTCATTATTTTGAATGAAATACAGATTGAGGATATTTTTTCGTAGGAGGTTGAAAGTGAGGAAGACGATGACTCAATATTTTGAGATTTATAATTTATAATTGGTAGAGTAGAATCAATATCTGTTAAGATTTTTAAGAAAAATTCTTGATATACGGAAATCACGTAGATCAGATTTTCCATACAATTAGATAAGATATTTTGTACAAAGATAAGAAGGAATTTTAAATCTACACAAACTATGTATTGATTTACGTAAATCAATATCTATATAGATAACCAAACCCTTCAATTTAGGTTTGACATCTGATTTATTTTGTGTAAAATCAAGATTTTATCTTCCGATCAAATATGCCTTTTTTTGTTTTACGTACATTTATTTTTTGTACCGATTTTATGGAAAAAAATAATTAAATAAAATTTAATTGATAGAAATAGAATGCATTAATTACTTTTGACTTTTCTTTCTACTAATTCTAATAAATGAGATGGCTCTTTATATAAGTATAGATTAAATGTTCGAAAAATTGGTATTCAATGTATGTTGTAATGTATGAATAAGTAATATGTATTGTGATAGCTAATAATTGAAATAAACTAAAAAATATATAAAAATAAGTAATATTCAAATATAATATTAAAAATTTCGAACCAAGTTCTACTCGATGAAATGAAAAACAGCACCTACACAATGCGGCTGTTAAAAATAAAAAAATAAAACTAAAACTATAACCTAAATTATTTTAAAATAAGATAACAATCATAAGAATTCAGCTAATCTTGTTTAGAATTTTATTTGTATAATAATCATTATCTTTATTGTTGTAAAATAGATATCTGTTAGGAGTGCTATTCAAAATCATACGGGATCAAATTGTTAGGTCCGAGTTTGAAGGCCAACATAGCAGTTAAAGAGTCTGGTGAATCAAATACTTCTTTAAAATTTTTATTTGTAAAATAATCTTTATCTTTGTATTTGTAAAATAAATATCTTTTAGGATAGCTATTGAAAATCATACGGGATCAAATTGTTAGGTCCGAGTTTGAAGGCCAACAGATTAATAATGTCCGAAAATCTATATTTAGCAGGCATTAAATGTATTTGGCGGGAAATAGCTGCTAAAATTGTTAAATGGTTAATCTTTTTATATAATGATAGATTGGGATTGGGGCTATTTTTTGTGAATTAGACAAATCAAAAGGACTTAGTTGCAAAATAAAAAAATCCAACAATATTACATTTAAATTCATGGGTTAAATGTATAAATTAATAAAAGTCATTAATTGCACATTAATTCTCATCATAATGCACAAAACCACATTTTAAAATTGCACAAATAATACTCTCAATAGTTACATAATGCACAATAGCGTTCGATGAGATGCACAACAATGAATGTCAATATTCACAATAGTGATTGAAACCAACCCAACTAAAATTTTTAGTTCAATTTTTTATATGCCGGTCTATTATTTGTTTTTACATTTAAAATTTCAGTTATCCCGGATGATAATGTGCATTCACACGGACACTAACGTGCATTTGGTATACATTATTGTGCAGTCCATCGGTCGGTTATTTATTTTTTATGTGCATTTCAATTTTAGAAAAAGTTACTAATGTGTAATTTAATTAACATTATTGTGCATTTATCAAATTATTAATTATAATTTTATTTAATGTTTTAAATTATTGCTTGTTGAAAATAAATGATATATACATCGATGAAAATATAAAAATGATATTTTTATATCGTTCGAGCAGTTCTGTTATTTCGTCTTTTTTTTTAACATAAAGTCGACACCAAACCTAAATAACCAAACTTTCAATATCTTTAAAATTCACACTGTTATGTTAACGTGCACTCTCGAATACATTAATGTGCATTTGTTATAACAATATTGTGCAGTTTAACGGTTATTAATGTGCGACTTGTTTAATATTATTGTGCATTATGCAATGTGTGTTTTTTTTATTTATTTATGTGCAAATTCAAAACTAAAAACGAATCGAAATAATCGATTCATTTGGACGCGGTTGACCAAATTAACCAAATAATAAAAAATTCATTAGTATTTGTATTATAAAAAAATATATTTAGTAATTTAATATTTTATTTTATTTTTTATACTATTTTTGGCTAAAAATACACATTATATGATATAAAAAATTCTTTTCTATATAATTCGGTTATTTTGGATATTTTGTTTATTTTAAAAATTATATTGGAAATCAAACGTATATAATTCGGCTGGTTCTGATATTTTGGTTATTTTAAAAATTATAGTTGATATCGAACCGAAAATCAACAGTAAAAAATAGATAAATATGAGAAATTATGATTTTTCATGGAGTGATATTTTTTAGTTTTGTTGGTTGAAAATATTATTGTGTATTCCTCAACACAATAATTCTTTAATGTTCATTTTGTTTAGTAATAATGTACATTTATTAATATTTTTATAAATTACATATTAGTCCCATAACCTAAATTGTAAATTACCCAAAAATCCTAAATTTGCAAATAGACCCCTATAATGTATCTAATTTTGACATTAAAGCCCCAACTCCAAAAACTCAGTCCGTCTTTTACGCATCTCTTCCAATGAATCTGGTGTTCTGTGATCGATTGGGGCGGCGAGGTACGCCGTTCGAAACCCAATCTTGGCGATCGTCGAGATTTGCCGGAGGGATTGGATTGTCCAACAGTCTATCCGTACCTGTACCGAAGAGACCTTGGGAAGGCATCTCTATCTCTTTAGTGGCAGCGGCGGTCGTCTACAGTGTTGGCAGCCATTGTCGGGAAGGGGACGGCGAATATGGCGGCGAGAAGGCATGTGTCTGGAAAGTTTTTCGGTTAGCGTCGCCGGAGGAGCCGACCTTCTCGTCGTCGGATTTCAGAGTCGGGGTCGGAGGATGAAAATAAAAGGCGGCGACGGGCGCTTGAGTCCTCAGAAACGGCTGGCGGCGAGCGGCGAACGGCGCCATGGCTGCGCCGGCGCTTTGTGGGGTGGCCGGTGGCTGGCGAGCAGTGACCGATTTCCTGTGTGTGTATGTGCTGGGTCTGTGTGTGCCCGTGAGAGATAGAAGAGAGAGAGGAGAGAAAAGTGACAGCTGGGGTTTGAACGAGTTAATTGGGGGTGGGGCCCACGTATGTGTTGGATAGTTGGTGTGTGAGTAAATGTCCATGATACCCTTAATAATGTATAAATGCTGCTTGTTTTATTTACCATTGGATGATCAGATTCAATGGCTCAAACTTATTCTTATTTCTTTCATTGAGCACCATTCTCACCGGAGCGTGACCCTATATTTATAATATCCCCTGTTTGTAATTTGTGTTTACTGTTTGTTGCATAAGGAAAAAGAAATAAAGAAATACAAGGGAAAAGATAGAATACTAAATAATTATCAAATTCGTTTTATAATTCTGTTAGAAATCCTACGCCATGAATCCCTCATCGAAATCACTTAGCAAGCTACTTGTTCACAAGGCTATAAAAGGCCGGTCGAAACTCAGACTTAATCATACCTTTATCGGCCTTTTGGCTAAGATCAAGTGTAGTATCTGGTCTTATTAGATTAATATCTGGTATGTGGGCCAATGGCCCGCAAGATGTGAGTTATTTTTTGTAGGGGGGCCTGGGTAGCTTGTTGCTTGGGCCTTCAAGCGTTACCTATGCGTTGCACTATTGCACGGGACCGGCGCACCCGACTAATGAGAGTTTCAAACACTCTTTGATGTGTAGTAAATTTTGATTAACCATGTTTGGAATTAATTTTCCAAGCTTAATTCTATAAGATGATACTTGATTGTGTGATATTATTTTTTGATAAAGATTATTTGAAAACCAAAACTAATTTGAGATATAGGGCCGGTCAAGTATTGCCACAGATTTCATAATTTCATCGAGGTTAGCATGAAACGAGAGGGGCCATCTTACTATCTTGTGTGGGCGGTTTGTTGAAAGAAATCGACACTTTGAAAGGAAATCTCTCCGCGGTAATCATGGGAGAAAGAAATCGACACTTGGAAAGGAAATCTCTCCGCGGTAATCATGGGAGAAAGACAGTTGGGAGGTTTCGGGGTCGGACGCGAGATGGTGTACGTGAGATGGATGACCCCTCCTGGGGGATGGATTAAAATGAATTCGGATGGCTCCTTTAACCCATCGTCGGGGATGGCAAGCGCAGGTAGAGTTTTACGCGATCATTTTGGACGGTGGTTACAGGGTTTTACCATGAATATCGATTTTTGTTCCATCACAGGGCGGAATTATGGGGGCTTTTCCAAGGGCTCCAACTAGCATGGAGCTCGGGTTACCGTCTGGTAATTGCGGAAGTGGATAGCCTATGTGCCTTCTCGATGATCCAATGTGTTAATGTTGAGCATGGGATACATAGTGCCTTAATCTTGGCCATTAAGGATTTGTTGAAGAGACAATGGTCGGTGAGGGTATGCCATGGATTCCGAGAGTCTAATTTCGTGGCGGATTGTATGGTGAGAATGGCTACAAGGAGCCCGGGTGGTTTCCAATCTTTCGATGTGCCGCCGGATGAGGTTCGACAATGGTTACACCACGATATTGTCGGGGTTTCACACCCTCGACATGTACCGATTTCCGGTACTTAAGCGTTAGCCTCTATCTTTGTACCAAAAAAAAAAAAAAAAAAGTTTGTGCATTTTATAAGACCAATATTGGAATGCTGATAGTCTTTGTAGAATGTTGGCAAATTTTTAGAGCTTGTTTGTATACAAATTTTCTGTTCAAAATGAGTTTTTTTATCAACCAAAGTTAATTTTGAGAAAAGTAATATGGTTAGTTGTTAGTAGAATTTAAATTCTATATTAAAATATTATTTAAAATAAATAATTAAAATTGATTTGATATAAAGTAGGAGAGATGACGTGAAGTGATGATTAGTTAAAATTATGTGAGTGGATGAATAGTAAATTAACGTTGATGTGATGTGTAAGAATGATTAGTTAGATTTTGAGTATGAATTGAGAATAGTGAGTTTGAGTTAAAGTTGAATTAGATTTTGAGTATGAATTGAGTATGGATTGAGATATTTGGTATACAAACACATCCTTAAGTTTCTTTGTTAGCCAATTTGAATTAACAAGAAAAAGTTTGAAATATAATACAAGTATAATTAATTTTGCCAAATAATACAAGTATAATTAATTTTGCCAAAAAGTTTGAATATAGTAAAATATAATTAATTTTGAACTGCCCCTTATGGGCAGGGCATAGTCAGAATTTATTTTCACTATGGGCTGCAAAACAGGCAAACCGAATGTTCGGTAATTAGGCCTGTACATGAGTCGAGCTGAGCTCGAGCTTAGGGTATTCGAGCTCGGCTCGTTAAATAAACGAGCCTGAAATTGAGCTCGAACTTGATTTGTTTATCACTAATAACAACCAGAGTTCGAGCCGTAACGAGCCGATCTCGAGCTTTAACGAGCCAAATTATAGAAAAATATATAAAAATTCTCTTTTCGAGCCTTAACGAGCATTATCGAGCCGAGTCGAGCTGAGTCATGCTCGTTTAATTTAACAGCACTACCGATAATGTAGGTCAATTCGACTTGTGAAAGGTCGAACTCGACTCACTTGTATATTTAAACGAGCTAAAGTCAACCAGCTAATCGAGTTTTTCTATTAAACAAATTGAGCTGAACGTGTTCGCGATAGACTCGGTTAGAATTTTGAGTTTTGGTCTAGATTTAAAAGTTTATTAAACGAGTCAAGCCGAGTTTAAAGGATCCGAAGTCGGACTCACATTTTTGTTTGTTTATTAAACGAGTTAAGTCATAGCAACTCGTTTATTAAATGTACACGAATTTAAATATGATGTACTTGATTCGAATAATCTAACTAGACACATACATAAATCAATAAAAATATGAAAACAATTTTGAAGTATTAATATAAATGACATGAATTGTACATTAAATAATTTTAAAATATAGATGTAGTATTTGTAGAATAAGAATCAATTATATGGACCTCTTAAAAAAACTTGCGAGTTTAACAACTCTTTTATACATACGATAAAGCATTACTTTTAATAAATTAATTAATTATTTTTTAAATGCAAATATATTTTTTCTCATATTTATGATTTTCAATTAGAAAAATTAATATATTTTTTAAAAAGCTGCCATGAGGCGGTATACTAATCGCTTTATTCTTGTTGTATGCCATGACATTTAAGGTTCATATATCATTTTATTGAATATGCCACATAAATAAATGAGACTTTGTATTAAATTTTTTATATGCTGAAATACAATTTATTTGAAAAATCAGAAAAATATATAAATAAATTATAAAATCAATAAATTCAATCTCATACTATATTTTTCTAATAAAAGTGTTGATACCCAACTTGGCTCCGATTAATTGAATGATAAATAAGAATAATAAAAGAACGTCCCGGTAAATAAGGAGCCAAAAATACATGTTAAACAATTATGCAAACAGGTTTCCAAAACCGATGACCTAAAAGTAGATTCCGGGTGCCGAGTCCACCCACTACGAAGCCGAGTAGAATTCGAGGTGATCGACCGACACGCATATCATAAAGGAGACGTCAATCAAGACCGTCAAAAGTCGTAGGTGGGCCCCCCAGTTGTCATCTCGCATTAAATACTGCTGTATCATTTTTTATTAGGCCCACTAGTAAAAAGCTATATGGAGACACTATTCATTTTTCTTCTTCCTCCAATAAAAAAGAGAGCAAAAGACACTCTCAAAGGGATTCAAGAAGCACCAATTTTAATGATTTTGTTCTTCATTTTCCTTAAAAAAAAAAACTCGACTCTTACTTAATAGTTAATCGTCCGATTTTCGACATCAAACAAGAAACAATTATTTTCTTGAATAAAATTATTCAAATAAATTTTATTTAACTACATAATATAATATGAACTCAAAAAGAAGACGAAAACGATATAATGAGCTAAAAGGAAAAGCGAAAAGAGATTTAAACTATTTCAAATATATAATTCATTGATTTAATTTAAAATAAATATAATATATTTTAGGTCAAAATAAGATATTCATGCTAGTCTAATATAATATGAGCTAAAATATTTTTACTAATATACATTTAGATGTCCCAAAAAATTAAGATTGGACTAGAACTCACCCAAGCCTTTGGGGTGGCTCTGCCCCTGCTTATGGGCCTGGCTAGAAGGGTGGGTGCCAAAATATTTGAAATACAGTTGGACATGGTTTGAAAATACAATTCTTTTACCCAGAGGTTGGAACTGGCGAGTCGCGAAGATTTTTAATAATATTTTATTTATTGGAATTTTAGCCAATAAAAATTGAAAAAATAACGGTAACCTGTCTGGGCCGGCCCGAAACCGGGACTGCCTACATTTGGAACTAGTCTGTTGCTTTTGTTGGGTTGGTTTGCTGTTAGGTCGGGCCTGAAACCGGTAGACGGGCCGTTTGGCCATGTCTAATGAGACAACATAATAATTTTCAATTATAAGGAAGTGGAAATAAGGACAAATCTAGCTAATCCAAGTCGTAACAAAAAGAAAAAAGTATTAGTTAGTTAAGTGGGTCGACCCGTGTAACAAAAATATATACCGATGTTATGAAATGTCATATTTTATCTATATAGTTGTTAAAAATATATCATTTAACTCTAAAAGTATGTATTTTTATTAAAGAAATATGTCCAATCATTAGATCTGTTTAAGAGTAGTCTTACTTTTATTTAATACTATATTTTAACTTTAAGACTACTGTTTAATAATATATTTTAAATTTATGTCAACTGTCAAGAATTAAAAGAAAAGCCGAACCAGGTAGCCAAGGCAATGGTTACTTTCGAAAATGAAGTGAATGAAAATTTGTTGAGAAACTAAGTAGAATATAAAAAGAATAAATGTAGGACTTTATCACATGCGCTTCTGGTGTAGTGGTATCATTGTACCCTCCCACGGTACTGATCAGGGTTCGATTCCCTGGCTGCGCACCTCTTTTTCTTTTCCTTGTTTCTTTTTAGATTCACACTGTTTTTCCTTATTTCTTTTTAGATACATAATGTTTGCAGGAAAATTTTTACTGGAGATATTTTAACGAGGCCACACACCTTTAATAGCCATATGTTACCAGTAACTATTTAACACTAATTTTGGTGCAAAATGAAACTATAGGGACAGATTAATCACATTAGGCACACGTGCTTTTTGTATTTCTTAAATTCTAAAGGGTCCTTTCATGTGCAGATTATAACAATAGTTTCGTTGAAGTAACAACTCGAGCTACTGAAAAAACGATTTGGTTTATCTACTATCACAACTCCACACACTTTAGCCTAGTTGACAAATAAAAAATGGTCATCACTATCGAGCACAATCGTTCTTGCAGCCGCTGTTGCAATTTTTCGTCATATTTATTATAATTAAAAATTAACCAAAACTTATATATGATTACACTAACCAAAGTAATATTTTATCGAGATTAAGTCATGCGCGATTTCATGATTTGTATTAGCAAATAGAGAGGAACAACTAAAAAAAGACACATTCTCATTATTCTTTATTTATATTTTGAATTGGTCCTTTCAGAATGGTGTTAAGACCCATATGTTGACAGCTTCTAAAGGGCTTAAAACTTGTAATAATAAACCATTATATTTATGCTTCATCGATAAGAACAATGGTGCATGATTATAACGTGCCATTTTGGACAACGACTCTAGATGGTGAACGAGAGAAAAGGTGATGAAATATTAATTTTTGGTAAGAACAACGATAAAATGAGATGTCCCTTATGTTCTTGACATGAATATAATAGCTCACATCTTTGTACGAAATCATTGAATTCCGATTATATGAGTACTTAATAAAATAATTTTTTTGCCATTAGCCTTGCATAATTATATACAAATTCTAGATGATCACACTAATCAAATATATATTTTGTTGGAAAATCATGGAAAATATGCATATTAATTTGGTCCAGAATTCATTGATTTCTATAAGCATTGAGATGAGATGTGCTACGGATGTCAATTTGGTAGAGTAACATCTAATTACCTCCCCATTCTAACTAACAATCAATTAAGTTGCACATTCGTCATCGTCATCGTTCTCTCTAGTAATTGACAAGAATAAGAATGGAACGTCATTTTATTATTAGGATAAAGTCGAAAGGTTTTCCGATACAATATTATCTTCTTTGTGATCATATTATACTTCATATTATATGCTTGATGAGATAACACATGTCGCAAAACTCATGCTTCTTGTGAGTTAATCGAGAGAAACTCATTTTTTGAAAGACGTAAACATTCTAGTATTCTATGTATGTTTTGAGTATTATAGAGGGCTTTCGATGTTCTTATTTGGATCTTCCTTAGAGTATTAATCCTGTTCTGAATCACCTTTGCTTCCAATGGCATCAACTTCATTGCATAAGTGGCATCAATGGTCAGTTTTCCTCTCCATTTTTTTTTTTTTATTAATAATAAACAACCATGGCTTGTGAAGCACTAACCTTATGTTGTTCTGTAAGATTTTAATGAGGTCACATGCGCGCCTTCACAAGAAAGAAATAGAGATTTGAATGCACTACATTATGTTATGTGAGCTATAGGGAAGTCCACTATTACTTAGCTCCTTAGCACTTGGATTTTTTGCATTTCACGCGCTGCTTTCAATAAATATTGCCTGGTTTTTCAATTCCCAAACTTATGCTTATTAAAAACATTTTTTTTTTTTTTTAAAAAAACAATTTGATAATATTGTATTTTGCAGTTAAAAGTACTAAGCTTGTTCATCTGTCATATCTCATTTTATAATTTATGTTTAGTATTTATCGCAGAAGAATAAGATACAGAGAAAAAAAAAGGAAAATAGAGAAGAAAGACGGAATAATAATACAGAATTACAGTTTGTGAAGCACTCCTCAAGGCTCAAGGCAGTGATTTTTTTGGAGGAGAATAAGTAGTATTCTAACAATATCCCACATCGATATTGGTCAGAAAGATGGTACAACAAAAGGCTATAAAAGACCAGACCCAACTCTGATATAGTCATACCTTTCTCGGCCTTTTGGCTAAGATCAAGTGTAGTATCTGTTCTTATCAGTTTAATATCTGATACGTGGGCTAAGGCCCACATGATATTAAATTAATTTTTTTAGGGGGAAGGCCCAATAAGTAGCTTGCTGCTGGGCCTTCAAGCGTCGCCCTTGTATTGCACTATTGCATGGGCCTGGCGCACCCCACCAAGTCCAAGTAAAAATTATTTTTCATGATAAACTAGATTTTATATCATAGTTCTGTGTCTCTATTAGTACAAGTTTGACCTTTTGATTATTGATGTTCACTTGACTAGAAGTAATATGAACCTAATTCCTAAAACTTTTTCAGGTATTTTTCTTTTATTTTAAATTTATTCCAAAAAAATTACCAGNCTGTGCCTCTATTAGTACAAGTTTGACCTTTTTAGTATTGATGTTCACTTGACTAGAAGTAATATGAACCTAATTCCTAAAACTTTTTAAGGTACTTTTCTTTTATATTAAATTTATTCAAAAAAAAATTACCAATTTTTTTTTTTTGTTGGAATTGTGGGAGAAAATGTTCTCTTAATATTCTACTCTGAATTTGTTAATTTTAAATATTCTTCCTCAATAAATGTAATATTATCTCTTGTTAAAGAGAACATCGAACACACTTCTCCTCTCCTCCAACAATAGACCCCAACAAGCTCTCGAGCTCTTTGTTGGTAGTCGATTCATACGGACTTAACCAAATTCAGTGCAACCAGCAAGTAGGAGCCTTTATTTGATTTTCCACTTCCACTTCTAATAGCGATTTTTCTGTTCGATAAAATCGCAAAAGCGTCATTGAATTTCTTATCAGTCACATATATGGTTGTAGATGTGGCTATTTACTCGTTATTCCCACAATTAACATCACATTAGTACTTAGTGCAAGATATTTCATTGTAAATTATTTCATTATTCCCACATATTGTACCTCACATAGCTAGAGAAATTTGAACTTATAAATGAGTAACTCATAATTTTTATATGGGGTCACATGTTTAGATAGATTTGCGTTGGGTAACACTTGCACAGCTAGGCAAACTTGTGATTTGTCAATTTATAATTAAATACAAATTGTAGTTTTCAAGTTGTAATTCACGTTTTAACATATTTGAAAATTGTAAATCCAAAATGGACTTTCAAATTGCGCCTCATCGTTGAGAACTTTTATTGAAAAGTGGTGATAAATTAATAAAATAAGAACTAATTATAAACATGAGTTTCGTCGATAATCGATTTTTGAGGTCGCCAGACTGCCGCATATGCAACAATTAGCACTGAGTGGTATGCAATCCTCAGCGTGCCACCACATCAGGGCCGGGCAAGGGCAAAGTCACCCCAAAAGTTGTTGTATGCTCCTGCTCGGTCTTAATTTTTTTTTCTTTCAAATCTGTATCAGTAAGAAATATTTTAGTCCATGCTATTTTAGATTAGTCTTATGTTAATTTTATTTTGACCTAAAATAAATTGAACTTACTTTAAATTAAATCAATGAGTTATATAAATGTACATAATTTAAATCTCTATTACTCTTTTGTAGTTTATAATATCATTTTTTTATTATTTTGTTTGTGTTATGTTTATCATTTGGTTAAATAGATTTCATATTTGAATAACTTTATTCGGGACAATATATGATATATATGTCATTTATATTACTTCAGATATAGAATATATCAACTACTTTATGTTTTGATTTTATATAACTTGATGGTTCTTGTACATAATTTAAGATTATTTTTATTTTTAGCTTATAATGTTGTTTTCATTTTTATTGCGTTCATTTTTTATTATTTGGTTAAATATCAAGTTGAATAATTTTATTCGAGACAGTATATGATATTTACGTCATTTATATTACTTCATATATATGAAATGTATCATTTACTTTATGTTTAAATTTTTATACAATTTAATTGTGCTTGACTTTCATTATAATACTTAGCACGTAATTGAATTTATAGAATAAAATGTTTTTTTTCGTGTGGGATATCCAATGAAAAGCCATATTAACCTTAAATGACATGTCCTATAACAGAATGATAGGGACAAATAGATCGTTTCATAAGAAATTATGTTGTTTTCACTATTTAAAACCCAAAAAGTTGTCTTTGTACATTTTAAATAACATAAATTTAATTAAAAATAAACATTCATCATATGCAAGAGAGTAGTTACTAACTCACAATTTCTTTTAAAATTAAAAGAGAGTTATCCACATATAAAAATGTTTTTTTTCGTGTGGGATATCCAATGAAAAGCCATATTAACCTTAAATGACATGTCCTATAACAGAATGATAGGGACAAATAGATCGTTTCATAAGAAATTATGTTGTTTTCACTATTTAAAACCCAAAAAGTTGTCTTCGTACATTTTAAATAAAAAAAAATTA